GAACAGCACGCCTCGGGATATTCATTATGCCCCTCCAGTACCTCTAGAAATGATAATCCAGATAACGAATTGACACTTTTCTCTATATATCCGACTGAAACCAATTCAAGATCTCCTATAAAAGATGGAAAACATAAATGTATTAATTAAAACCAAATCAAAGGCTTTAAATGTCAATACCATTACATCGCGACTCATTGATGAAGACTTTGTGGATAATTGCCTCCACGGGAGTGGTCTTGTTGTGGAAGTATATGTCATACTTGAGTTTCTGGGAGTATGTCCTCTCATATGAACACAACTGTGGATAATAGAGATTCTGTGCATTCATTTCGATTCTGTCGATTAGGTCTGAATCACAACTTAATGAAAATGATTGACTCGTATTCGTTGCTATGTTTGTGGAGATTGTTATCACATTTTAATTTATAAATTAATCAGTAATAATAAAAAATATAATTCAATTTTAGAAACTGTATATACCTTGAGCATTAGGTGACCAATCTTTAACACTATTAAATCTAGCATAAGATTGATCTGAAATGAAATTAAGATTAATGTAAAATAATTATTTTCTGGAAGTTATTGAATAATAAATTCTTTACTTTTAATATTTGAAATATAAACTAAAAACAAAATAATTATCAAATTCATTTTTATATACAAACGATTAAAATATAAAAAATTATGTTTTATGTAGAAAAATAGCAGTTCATGTAACAAATATTTTGGGAAAAAATAATTTATTTGTAATGCAATAATTTTTTAAAATCTGTTTTACATCATATTGTAAAGAATTTATAATTAATAATTACATTATACTTGCAAGTTTTGCAACATTTCAATACCTTATAAACATTACTGTTTAAATTTCTAAAAACATGAATAATTGTAATAATACTATACAATTACAACTAAAAATAAATATTTTTTAAAAATCATATGAAAATATTTGTTCAAATGTTAACTCTAGAAATGTCATAAACATTATAAAGATTCATTACAAAAGTCTGTTGTACTATGTATCCTTAACTGAACATGGTGATAAATAATAAACTACACAGTATTTTAATTGGAAATTTTTTTTATTTAGAAGTTTAGAGTTTCTTAATAGAAAAATTACATAAAAACATATTGGTTCAAGTATTTTATCAGTGAACTAATCCTGTTATGTTATTCTGTGTCATTTCATTTATTAATTTTGTAATCCCTTCCCAGAAACTAAATCTTTCAGTTGTGATATAATTCATAGCAAATAAGTATCGATAACTTATTGGCAGAAAACAATACATAAATATACTTGAATTCTGTTATCAACAAATAGATTTCAATGTAAAAACTTATTAAATGTCATCAAATTGTTAGAATTGATTGTATAGTTTCTATTATCACATGAAATTACAGCTAAACTCAAAACTATATCCTTATTGTTATCGTCAGTCAAGAACTTTCAATACAAATGTGACGTTTGGACCGATTCTTGCCCTTGAATTCAGTCCTTTTATATAAAGCGGACTCGAAATCAGTGTTATTTCGTGTCTTTGTCTATCCATTCATCCATTCAGTGTTTTATTACTCAACAAAACGTTAAGTGAGTTAAACATTGAGTCTAACTGACAACTAGTATAAAACTAACACAATATTTGTCTCTAATTCTGTCCCAAAGGATGAGATCAGTGATCGTATTGAGTGTTTTGGTTTTGTTGATTGTGGGCGCAGTCTATGGTCAGGAAAACTTCCACCGATTCTGCGGCGGAAACGAGGACTGCAAACACACCGACAAGA